ATTTACCAACAACTGTAATTAAGCAAGAGATGTTCTTGTTTGGGTCATTACTGCGAACTTTACCGATAAACGCGCATCAACAACACTAACTTTCATGTTAATTTGTTTCACAAATTTGTAAAAAGAAAATAACGATTCTACACACGAAGAAGTTGGTATTAATCTCAGAACAATAAAAACCAATTCACCACAACAAGGGAATTTGTCAAACGCGAACAAATTATGAACATCGAGTAAACTAAATTTGCAATATACATTTTTGTTTTTTGGATGAATTGAAATACCCGTTCTTTGTTAATTTCAATGAGTTTTTTAATTTGTGATACTTCATTCTCCAATTCATCAAATGGTTCACGAAAGAAGACAAAGTCGTTTTTAAAATATCTTTCTGGGAAGTTAAAATAATCCAGACATCTGTCCAAGTTTTGTATATTATCCAGTTCTGTTTTAACTACTGATATATTATTTGTATCTGCTTTAAATTTTGCTGATGTGGAGCTACAGAAACGAACATTCATTTCAAGTGATAACTCAACTAGAATATTTTACACGAATCAACAAATTCTTTGGGTGGATTAAAAGAGAGAAATCTGTTAACTGATTTGTATTGATGAAAATCTCCATTAACCACATCTAGAATTCCATTATTTATATAACGCAGATACTCTTTTACTCGAAATAGTTCTTCGTTTATAATCCCAAATTTTTCCTGTAATTGGTCACAACACTTTTTTGACTCGGAAAGAATATCATTGAAAAAACCAGCAAACGCAAGAAAAAGAGTGTCGTTTACACAGACAGTTTTGATTTTTTTTACCTAGGAATACAAAATAATCAATTTCTTTAATTGTGTTATCTTTATTTGAAAGTGTTGATTTGTATTCGGAAATAAACAACTCGTTGATTTTTTCATATAAACCCAATTCTTTGAAAAAAACGTCGAAATCCACATGATTGTTGACTAGTTTTTCAACAAGTAAGGCATGATAAAACCATCTTGTATTACTTAATGTGGGAATATGAACGTGGTCTTTTTGCCTTCCTTTTTGCCCAAAAGAAATTCCACTGAGTTATTGTTACATCATTTGAAATGAATTTTGATAATGACAAAAACAACTTCCCATCTGTAGTGGTCCAACAAAAAGACTCACCAACATTAATTCTATGGCACAAACAATAATGTGACATGTAGGTGTCCAGTACAAATGTTTTAATCTTAAAAAGTTCCTCTTTTTGAGTAAGAGTTTTGAGTTTTTCTTTTTCTATTCCAAGCAATTTACAAACTCCAGAACGACACCCCTGCATTACAGTACATCCATCTGTTGTACAAAACACACATTTCAACAAAGAGGCTTTAAATTGGTTTAAAGCATCTATCACCCATTTTACTATATTTTCAGCATTAGTTTTTTTTCGTAAATTTCACCA